CACCAACCTTGTTCTTGGCCATTACAAACAAGCAGGGCGTCGACTTGTAGGACGTCGATTGGCCCCAGACTGTATAGTAGCTAGCTCTGCTATTGCTCACCGTACACTATATTATAGACAGCGCGCCATCAATCAGCAAAACCAAAACGATACCATCACCATTGCAAGAGCAAGCAGAGCTTCACTCCCGGATGGGATAAACCTTCTAACATATAAACGTTATTAAAGCTCTCTCTCGTCAAGACCGCATACTTTCTCTGCCTATGTAAGCTCAGTTACCTTCCCACAATTCTCGCAATACCGATATAGACATGCGGACGGAAAATAGCAGTCGATCCTATTGATCTGACGAGAAAAGCTGCAGAAGCATGCGTTACTGGACATGCATGTGATTCACCAGGTGTACACATAGTATCAGGAGCTAATAATGACAATTTGTCATTATTAGCTCCTGATAGTATATACCAGGAGAAGATAATAGGGAATTATTAATTAGGGAATAGACAATAGGGAATTCCCTATTATCTACTCCAGGTATATACTATCAGGAGCTAATAATGACAAATTGTCATTATTAGCTCCTGATACTATGTGTACACCTGGTAAATCACATGCATGTCCAGTAACGCATGCGTCTGCAGCTTTTCTCGTCAGATCAATAGGAAGCTTGCTATTTTCCGTCCGCATGTCTATATCGGTATTGCGAGAATTGTGGGAAGGTAACTGAGCTTACATAGGCAGAGAAAGTATGCGGTCTTGACGAGAGAGAGCTTTAACGTTTATATGTTAGAAGGTTTATCCCATCCGGGAGTGAAGCTCTGCTTGCTCTGGTAATGGTGATGGTATCGTTTTGGTTTTGCTGATTGATGGCGCGCTGTCTATAATATAGTGTACGGTGAGCAATAGCAGAGCTACCATACAGTCTGGGGCCAATCGACGTCATACAAGTCGACGCCCTGCTTGTTTGTAATGGCCAAGAACAAGGTTGGTGAGGATTCATCAGTAGCCACGAATATTGGTCCCACCCAGGAAGGCAATACCAACCTAGGTATATCCTACGTCCAGCTATTCTGGGAGACATCTATCAAGTTGATTTTTATTCTTTAGGCTGTATATATATGGCATTACTATTTCAACTCAGCTTATTGCTTCACAAGTATGTGCAATATGTCGACTAATGCATGCTCATTCACACACACGCATGCACGCACCCCTAAGTGCCTGTACACATAAAACTTCCATTAAGCCTGTGGGCAGAAATTATAGTATTATACATTTTTAGGTAATCATTTTTAGGTGATTGAAATAGGATGATTGTTTCGTGGCATTTTCTATAAAGTTGTTTTGAAATAATTGTTAATTCGGTGTGGCATGTAGCCTCTCGTGAGTCATGTAGAATATGTTCTCTCAGACTTAATTGTCACCCCCATCGTCTAATTTGGATCATATGGAATAATCATTTGTATCATATGGCTATTTAGAAAGCCTATCAAGTTATATTATGTAATATAATGTATTGCTTACCATACTTTGTACATGGGCCATGTAATTGTTACCATACATCTAATAGGGGCTTATTTGTAAACAAAATATATTAGCAAAGGTTGTTGGCTTAATTTTGTTTCGGAAAACATTATGGTATAAATGCAATGTCAGTTGACTGTTAATTGCGTCTCAAGTATTACAGCATTCTGGGTCAACGAGAGTAGGCGTTATTTTCAGAGGCACACGAGAAGTTGTAGATTTTCGCACTGAGCTGTCTTTCTCATTATTGTAGCTGGTAGCGACTGATGCAGGTTTGGATGAGTTACTGTGTGCAATAGTATTACGGTATAGTGACCAAAGTGGCACTCGAACCCCAGACCATTAAACCTGCAGTTGAGAGTGTTAGCCATTAAGCTATTGCAGCCACCATGTTGCCCCTATTACTGTTAGTTAATGCTCAATGGACATTATTTATTTACAGTCTCCTGTGGCTGTAGGCATTATGGTAATTAAGAGTTTGCCCATAATATTCTGCAGTTAATGATATTCATGGCTGAGTTGGGACTAGAGTGTAGGTGCATGCTGTGATTTCATTGACTGTGACGTATGTAATCCCTAAAAACTTCCAAATGCTTGAACTGAGACAGGCCGGGAAGTGTATTTAATTTTGACTACGGGCGTTCACATAAAATTTGTGAGCGTAAAAATTAAAGTGAACCAGCAGCAATATATGCGATCATAAAGTTGTCTGGTGGCCGTTGAGCGGCGGTAAAACTACTAAAGTTGTCCAGTGACTAATTAATCCAGTCCATTAACCCGTCGTAAATGTTAGTGTTTGACATCAGTGTGTAAGTGACCAAGTGACCAAGAGTAAATTAGTCAGTGCAGCAGAGTATTCTATGCTACCTATATTATTTATTTATTTTTCAGGCGTGTATGTTACAAATACCATACTTATCTTAAAATAATATAGTACATATGTAATGTATGCATGTATTTAGGATAGCTGTATCAAATACAGCTGCACAGGATGTTTATTGTATACTGTGTCCCACCCAGTTAAACAATCGTATATAATGGGGAGTAACCTTGTATTTTCACTGTCATTCCAGACGGCAAAGTTCAGAAGTACCTGATGCATGACTAGACTACCAAAATTCCAAACTAATTGTTAATTTCTAACACGGCGTCATCTATTTCCTCCCAATTGCGGTTCCTATTAAGCCATGGAATCTGACCCATCACCTACAGTCCTGACTCGTGTCACTTGTTCCTATGTTCCGGCTTGTATCGTAAAAATTGCTCTGTGTTGCAGGCTTTGAAGGCGTGGGCGATGAATCGTATCCACCAAGTTACTCCCCACCTGAGGGCTACACGGGTGGAACTCCCATGCACCCAGGAGGAATTCCCCCTGCAGGAGCTATCCCAGGTAACCACGTTAGAATACCTGTAGGGATCGAGTTACGGGCACCTGAGTCGTTACTGCCTTATTTGGCCATGACTGCATGGTATTAATTAGTGAATGTATTAATACCATGCAGTAGTGGATTGTTGGCATAAGCAATTAATGATCTGCTTCATTTGAGTCTAACCTGTTGCTGTTTTTTGTGTGGCTGTGTAGTGAGCGTGTGAGTTAGCTTAGCTGTTTAGCTCTGTAGCATGGGAGTGGGAGTAGCAACCCTTTGACCGAATGTCAGGTTTAGTACCTGATAATGTAAGTGTGAGTAACATTTAGAAGAAAAAAAACATATATTCTAAAAGTATGTCAGTGACTCAGTGTAATTTTCGTTAGTTTCTGTCGGTATCTGAAATGGCCTGCCTTCGAATAATGGTTATTCTATCATGTGTTTGCCTACTACATTCAACCAGTGGCTATGAAAGACCGCGTAGCCTTTAAATGAACGTGGGGCAGCTGGCCTCTCAGATTTTGAAGAAAAATTATTTTTTTTAAATAAATGTACATTTATTTAAAAAAATTATTTATTTTTCTTCAAAATCTGAGAGGCCAGATGCCCCACTGCCAAACCGCGTACATGACCAGCACCACTGCTATATATAGACTGACGTGCACAACAGTTGTGTTCATTTCACCAGTGCACCTGAGACGATTAGTTTCTTGTCTGCCACCGAAAAAATCTTAAATGTCTAGCCAGTTTGAACGGAACACTTTGTGTCAGCCTAGCTGAGGGGACAATCGCAGTACCAATCTAAGTATAGGATTTCCTTCGCTGTTTTTAAAATAGTGTCCAGTTATGGGAAAAATGACCCAGACTTATTTTATTTTTATTTTTTACTTGTAATATTTCTTTTTAAAAGCTCATATGTTTTTTAATGTAAATTAGGATACGGTTTGTGCGGCAGTAGCCGGATGCATTATGTGTATTACTGCTATACATAATACTGGCAAAAAATAAACCTATACAGTACTTATTATTGCGTGTTTGATGTTCCCTCTTAGGCAGTGTTTCAGCATGGGAGAACCCAAAAGGTATACTGAGCTAGTACAGATCACAGGTTGTTGCTAGTGTGTGGTGTCGTGATAGGTAATGTTCGTATGCAGTGGCTTCACAAAGATATATATACTGAGCTGGTATATAAAGATATATATTATATATATATATATATATATTTATATATATATATATATATATACTGAGCTGGTACGTGCAGATCACAGGTTGTTGTTAGTGTGTGGTGTCGTGATAGTAATGTTCTAGCAGTGGCTTCACAAAGTATATATATACTGAGCTGGTATATAAAGATATATATATATATATACTGAGCTGGTACGTGCAGATCACAGGTTGTTGTTAGTGTGTGATGTCGTGATAGGTAATGTTCGTATGCAGTGGCTTCACAACAGTACATAAAATTGATGTGCACTTATCACGTGGATGTTGAGCAAGCTTTTTTCTCTTTTTTTCTATGCCGTATTGACATGTGTATCTACAAATATATCATAGTACAATCAGTTGCCTTTTTGGTGCTTCGCTTATATGATATGGAAATTGGGCAGAGTAATTAATATATAGGATGATTAGTTGGTTAATTATTGTATTTTATTGTTACATGCATTTTAAAGTTAATTACAAAACTAATAACGTCACGAAATACTCACTACAATATGTACACTGTAATACGTGTTGTAGCTTGCATTTCAATTCAGCCCATTTAACCTCTAACGCAATGGTGGTCAGCTTACCACAACTTTACGTTTATTTTATAGTGTTGTGCACGTTTGTTATCCATGCTTTTCAAGTTGATGATTAACAGTTAACACATGGCTGTATCTGCTTGGTTGAGATCTGAAACTTACTATTGCCATTTACTAATTTAGATACATAATTTAATAAATGTTAGAGTCATTATCATAAGCCATTATCATAGTGGATGGTCGGCTCACTAATATCGTGGTGCTCGTGTTTTGTGCCTTCTTTTATTTGCATGTTCAATTGGTGTGTCTGTGCCTGCATGTTGCGTGCTTGGGTTCTGTAGACAGCAATATTGGTCGTGAAAATCCGGCTTTCGGGTCACCTGTGTCTGGATCAGGCTGTTCAGTTAATGGTACGTGACTGGTTTGGAAATCCACAGTTTGTCTTACCAACGTTGAACCCTAAAGATATTCACGTGAAAAGTTGTGTCCACAAGTTCAGTTACGTCATGAGAGTATGTTACTGTGGAAATAACATCTCTGCAATAACATCTCGGTGATTACGTAATATTGCTAAATATCGAGTACTGATTTGAGAGCAGATCAGTTATTATAGTAATTGAGCTGCTCTTAATCTAATATAGCAATATAGTTCTTAACATTTTAGTTAGACTGTAATATAATTATATTTTTAGAGTTGAGATTTTTTAGATGTTAAGATATGCATGACTAAAGTATTGAGACAGTTAAATAGTTTATAGTTTGAGCATTCACCTCTTCCCTTCCTTTCTTACCAATGCCAACTGGTTTACAGTGCGATTGCTTTCAGTGTAACGGCATGTGTGTGTAATTAGATTTTTAGAGTTGAGATTTTTAGATGTTGAGATATGCATGACTAAAATATTGAGACAGTTAAATAGTTTATAGTTTGGCTGATAGGGTCTATGTCCCCCAGGGTACTGCCCGAACGTATCCTGGGTACGGTCCGGTATACCGGAACGTACCCTGGTACTAAATACTACTATCTAATATGCCGGACCGTACCTCGCCTACCCCACTAACGAGTCTAGGGAGTCGCCTACGCCTACTCCCTAACCCTAACCCTAACCCTAACTCTAACCTTAACCCTAACCCTAACCATATCAGCTAGATAGTTACCATGGTACGTTTCGGTATACCCGACCGTACCCAGGGTACGTTCCCGGCAGTACCCTGGGGGACATATAGACCCTATGAGCTATAGTTTTAGCATTCACACCCTCTGTTCCTTTCTTACCAATGCCAACTGGTTTACAGTGCCATTGTTTTCACTGTAAAGGCATGTGTATGTCTCTGTTTTTCTAATATGGAAAGTTCTTTGCAATGGAGTTGTTTAAAAAACTTCAAATTTTAGGTCTTTTTTAATTCTCTTTGCATAATATTGCATCTTTAAGCATGATCAACAATCAAAAATTGGTACTGTTATTAAGGCACCCCAAGGAAAATACTTGTGATATTCGTACATAAATACCTCTGTGACCATAAATTTCTAGCTGTTGATTTAGCCTCTATTCTTTCTCCCTACAGAGAAGAGTGTCACTAACATAAGTTATGGTGACCCAGTGGAACAGGGCTCGCTTGGTGCTCTGATCACAGAAAACAGCAACAACAAGGTATGGTTTTGACAGATCTTGGGCACGGAAAAACAGCAGTCTGCATTTAGCATATATTATCATTATCATTATTTACCTATATTTATCGTTGTGGGATGTGTAGATCTGTACTAATGCTGCAAGTCTTTAGCATGACTTTCATCACTAGTGGCAAATATACTTCCCAGTTATAAATTATTTACAAGTGACTGTGTACAATTTTTGTTTGAGTAGTTCAAAGTCATCACATAAATACTTACATCTACAGAATTTTCACAGATAAGTAAATTCTTATACAATAGTCTAATATTATAAACAAATCAGCGTAATGCCATTGTCAGAGTAATCGACCTATCTGACTGGCAACATCATTGACAGTCAGCTCTTGCCAATCAGTGTTGCCATAAGACGTTTCAAAACTAATGCATTGTAATGCGTTCCACAAAGTTTAAATTTAGATAACAAACGTGCATGTACACGTACAAATTGGATGAACTTGCAATTGGCCGACCTAGCAACGATATCCAAGGGGTGTCGTCAATCTCATTCACGAAGATAGGACACTTGTTGGCATTGTTTTCTGCAAGTTTTCCCTTCTGTTTACTGCAGCCGCATCACGACAGAAGAGAGCAGCTATACTTCAATGACGGCAAGAGACAAATCGACTTCATTCTCGCCTATAACGATGATGATCCTAAGAAGGAACAGAAGCGACAAAGGTTCATTGCCAGCCTTCACGAAGAAGGACTGATGGTAGAGGTAGAGGACGCATCTGTGAGTCGGCATTTATTATTATTTTACTTATGTATATTGCGCCTTTTTACACAAAAATGATCAAAAGTGTAGCACATCAATATCGAGAACGACTGAACAATAAAATGAAATGATAATTATTTATTTAATATGAACATTTATCCATCCTTGATAGATGTTGTGTCACCAGAAGCGCATTAATAATTATTATTGGACTCATGGTGTCACGTTATGCATATTGCCAATAGTACTAGTAGTAAGTTACAATTTTCAACCATTCCAGCTACTATTAAGCAATAGTACTAGTAAGCTCCAAGTACAATAGCCAAAGATTATTCACAATAATTATTTGTCATGACAGTGTCATTTCCAATAGTACAGATTTCATAGCACGTGAATGGTTGCCATATGCAACCAGAAATGTAAGCAATTATAATATAATATATTGGTTCTAAAGACAGGCTTTCTTGTCCTAGGAGACTAATGGTGGTCGAGTTTCCTTCGTGAAGATACATGCACCATGGGAAGTGTGTACCAGATATGCAGAGCTAATGAACATGAAAATGCCTATCAAGGTAGTACATTCTGACCACATATAATAATACTACACGTGAGCTTACTGCTCACTGTTATACAGTATAACTAACATAATGCTAAATTACATCTACCATAATAATTGGGTTTTAGTTACGTATGTGTTAGCAATTCTAAATTGGTTGATTTGTGCTACATTTTTGTACGAGCAAAAGAGAAAGGAGGGAAGGATGGGGAGAATTGCGAGAGTGCGAAAGAGAGAGAGAGAGGAACAACTGGAGGGAAGCAGAATGAGAGAGAGAGAGAGAGAGAGAGAGAGTGCGAGTGAGAGCGCAAGCGAGAGCTAGAGCAGGCAAGTTAGGGTGATCTAACATGAGAACTCCACACATAAAACGTGTTCAGATCAAATGTAAACATAACTCGAAGAATCATTTTCTGTGCAGGAAATCCTAATCCAAGCTCTGCTGAATCATGATGAGGTTTGTAACTGCACGCGTACCTAAAATGCGTCACCGTTATAGTGTTCATGCTTCATGTTAGAGTACAGTGTTTGGTACGCGCTGTGACACAAACGTGCGTCATTGTTGTTGTATGTTGTATGTTGTATCTAATTACACTACTCGCTGCACTGTGGTGATGCGAGTTACAACAACGTACAATGCCTCGATTTTACGCAGTTTATTGCTGCATAGCATTTCTGATGTAATCAAAGCTGGATGTAGTATGTACATGATGTTAATGTGTGACTGATTGTGTATAAAGTTGATGTTGTTCATTGATAATCATATATAATTTCTTTCCTTCATAATTGTGCTTTTTGTCTTCGTATTATAGATACTAATTTATATGTATATATAATTAGTGTATGTAATTAGTGTAATAATTATATGTATATATAATCTATATATGTAATATAGATACTATATTATGTGTATTATATCAGTTCATAGCAAAGTCATTATATTGTTCTCATACAATAGCAATTGCTAAATTGTGATGGTTAGTTGGTTACTGATCAAAATCTCTTCGAAAAAGCTCAGTTTGTGAGGGGCAAGGCCATGACATCTGTATTTCTGTATCTGTCTGACATCTGTATTTAAAAAAAAAGGGAATGCCACTTCGTTAAGACTATGGTACTGAAATCACATCATTTTCATGACATGCTTCGATAATATCCCGTTTAGTCAAACAGAAGGGTCATAACAGATCTGTTGTGGGGGACTTCGATTTCGTGACTGATTTCGTGTATGTCACCATTATGTATCCTAAATTTAACTTTTTGGGTGTGAAGCTAACCCTCGTCAGATCCTTCACTGTATATTGCTAACCTGGGAAGAATTCTCGTATCTGTGTAAAGATATGCACGTCTCACTGCAGAGTATTGTCATACACTGGTGTGTGCGATTTCCTTGATGTTGGTACCATGGCTAAAATAACATGATGGCTAGAATGACTCATGAGTGTCTAACAAGTTAACAACATTAATTACTAATTACATTAATCTACTAATTAGTTGTTTCTAAACCCATCAATATTTAATCATTGAAAAAACCCTAACATAAATTGCTCGCCATATCTGGTTACTTATACACAGTATTTTTGCATGTTTATAGGTATAATCATTTAATACATTGATCAAAATACGTTCTATCAGAAATAGTTCAGGTTGTGATTTATTTCTGGTGCTCAGAATGTAATATAGAATCAGTAGTAAATAATAAAAACTTGTTATTATTTACTACTGATAGAATGTTAGCTGTCAGTAAAATGGAAACCAGGGGCATGTGGTTGTTGTCATGTATGAGCTTGTGATCGGTTACTGATGGTATACGCAACTGTATGACATGCGGTGCTACATTTCTTCCCGACATCGGTCAAGAAATCATTAGGAACAGTTGTTGAATGGTGTTGGCATTTGTGGTAGCAATATCCAACAGCATTTAACAAGGTGCAATACGTTGCATGGAATAAAGCATGTCTCTTTCCTGCAACATTATTTAACATGTTATGAGCGTTAGATGTTGATGTATAAAACCCCAAAATTGCATTTGACTTAATTAAATACTTCAAAAACAATATATATTCTATTTGAAATTGCAGATTCTGGTGTACTGTCACACAACTAGCAACTGTATTCTATATGTAGTGGTCTGATTCTGTGAAACTTTTCTGTAGAAGCGTTCAGTATTGATGGTAGAAGTGCATACATATGGTGACCTACAACATTCTGTGCCTCTATATACGAGTCTACATTACGTGTATAATAAATTTACATTTCAGATATACATCAGGCTATGCATTTACATTACCTTGCTCTGCCAAGTATTGTCAGCACCTAAGAAGTGGGAGTAGTGGATTGCTGCCCAGTTAATTCTAATATAAAAGTATATATAATAGTAATATATAGTAATAGCTTCAGTAATTTATATGTGTTAATAATTCTTTTGGCAGCAAAATGATTTAGCAGAGGATGAGGAGTCACAGCAGTGCCTACCGAAGATGCCAAACCCATTTGAAATCAGTGAAGAAACCTTGCCTGAGGAACCTAACTACTTCACAGCTGCATTTAACAGAGAGAGAAGTAACCAGTAAGTGTGTGGTATTCCTTTTTTTTTAAACAGCTCATTCAAGTGTGAGAACAAAGTTAAATGGCGAGGGATAAAGGTGTATTGGAGAAATGTTTGTCGGAGGCTGGGTGTGTAAAGAGAGTACATTAAGAGAAATCCACATAAAAGAGGGGTTACTGTGTAGTTTTTCATCTTAATAGGGGAGTTTACAATGATATGGGAAAGTGCTTAAGAAAATGAGGGTTATGGTTTGCAGTGGAAGTGGTCTGTTGTCTTTCTGTTTATTATGCTGGTATCTACAAGGATGTTTCCCTAATAGAAGGGCTTTTACAGATATTACAGATATTTTATTGTGTTATTATATATCGACTATTTTGTAACCACCTTATGTTAATATACAGTCAGTAACGTATCTTATTCGTGTGTGATTCCAGGTTCATAATTGACGACCATGAGACGTTTTTCAGTCACAGTCAGCGTACTCGCATAGTGTACGAGGTTCTGAGCCGTGCCAGATATGACGACAGCAATAAACTCAGATTTGGTCAGTACCTCACATAGGACGTTCCATTTTCTGTTCCTATCCATAGACTAGGTCGTTACTCTAAGAACGAGACTGCTGGTTGGTCTATCAAGGTTGTAGGATGGTCCAACTTGTAAAGTAGGCAGCGCATGGTGCTATCATAGTTAGTTAGTTATCCCACGTAGGTGCCTAGATGGCACATAAGGCAGTGACGAGATCTCCAACGTCTTCGGTCCACTGCTACTGGCCTCAGCGTGTCCCATGACAGGTCACACATCTGGGTATTCTCCAGTTCTCCTTGGGTCTTCCCCTTCTTCTCCTCCCATCTGGCATCCATCTAAGTGCCGTTTTCGCTATGGCACCTTCTTCCATCTGGGCGACATGACCGAGCCAAGTCCATCCTCTTCTTTAATTATAATTGTAATTTAGTAGAGTCGTTCATTTGTAATGCGTCTGTCTAATGTAGCTTGAGTATCAATGACTTTGTTTGGAATGCACAGAGTTTTTGAATGATTTCTTTGGTAGCCTTCCAGCTTTCCACTCCGTAAAGAAGCACACTCAAAACATTGCTTTTAAAGATTTTTTATTTTTGTTGCTGTTTTCATAGCTTTTCATGGTGCCGTCATGGTATAAGATAAAAAAATGTCTCAGTTAGAATCTTCTGCTGGAAGGAGTTTGCAGAGGTCAGGTGTAATTTCTTAAATGCCTACTCAGGGATTTATAAAATTAATGTTGTATAAGTTAGAGAATTATAGGAGATGTTATATTTGTAAATATTAATAGAACTCTAGCACTAGTAACATCGTTAGTAAGCTTCTTGTGGCTAGTAATGATTGCTGACCATTAATGAGGTCACTTGTTTGACAGGCATCATCAGAATGTTGGACAATGACAGCTACACAGCAGCTTTCTCCTTACATGAAGTGAGTGCACTGTTTAACACTTATCCCCCCCCCTCGGTCCCTTGCTAACGTGATAAGAGTTAAAGACACAGCCAAACTATTCGCTACACCTTCCTCCTGTAAGCAAGCAGCTTACCCGGGCAGAGCCTGTCAAGGGAATTCAAAGTGTGGCCCTATGACCTACTATGTACTAGGAGGACAAAAAACGTTGCTACAAGGGCTCATATTTTATCAGCTTGTTTATAGGCTTTTAATGGCATGCTGCTGCTATGTTACAGGGCTCCTATTCGTCAGAGCATTCTGTTATCACACATGGCTATGAGAATGAGAGACGGGTATGTATCCATTTTACTACCTTTATTTATCGTGAGGTTTAAAGTAGTGGTTTTATTTTCTTAAATAGTTAGTTATATTGCCTTCACATTTGCAGTTTTATTTTTATGGTTTCATTATGTTAAGAGAGCTACTTATATTACATCTCTTTGCTCAGTTTAATCAGGGTTTTATTTCCTCAGTGGCTTGGTTATATTGCCTTTGTCGATAAATCAATATATATGTGTGTGTGCGTGCGTGCGTGCGTGCGTGCGTGCGTGCGTGCGTGCGCGCGCGTGCGTGTTTATGCATTCAGTACAATTCCATGCATCAAATTTCATGTGTCGTGTAAAATTTGTTACAGCTTCTCTATGAACTCTGGGCAAAGCCAAAGGCTTTCTACAAGCAGCAACCATTAGATCTGATACGGTGCGTCAAGCTCGATTGTACTATAAATGCACATGCTTGCAGTTGGTTTGGCGTGTACAAATTACACTAAAAATTGTCTGTTGATAAAGGTATTCACCGATTTTGATTTAGATAGCAGAGATCAGAACATCAGAGTCTGTTTTCTTACAGGAAATACTACGGTGAGAAAGTGGGCATCTACTTTGCCTGGCTCGGATTTTACACGATTTGGCTAGTGCCGGCATCTCTTGTTGGCATGGTGTGCTTTCTTTATGGTTGTTTCACTCTCTACAAAAACATACCCAGGTAACAGCTATACATGGTTTGCTACATCGAGTATGTTATGTCAAAGGTAAATAAGAACTAAGAAAGCAAGTAATAACTAATAATACTCATACTACTACTAATAATAATAATAATAATAATAAAAATATTGCTTTGCTTCAGTAATAATGTTTTTGTAGTTCTACATATTTTTATTGCTTGTGTACTTTTCTTCTAGTAATCATCGTTTTCATTCCAGAACAAAATATGTTACTTATGCATAACGGGTTGTGAAATAAGAACTTGCTGAACTTTAGCTTTATTGCATTAATTGTTGTTTCTTTCTTGTTTCCATGGTCACAGTAATGAGATCTGTGAGCCAGGTGGACTTGGCAGTACAGTGATGTGCCCACTGTGTGACCAACTCTGTCCATTTTGGGAGCTAAAGTCTAGCTGCTTCTACTCTCGTGTAAGAATATACCATTCATGCAGTAGTTTATACAATAACTACATTTTTTCTTTAGACAAATAAGAATTTCCTTTCTTCTTGTTTCATTATAACAAGTATAACACAGTTAAAATAAATGTTTCGGTAATAATAATAATAATAAAATGTTCGAATATGTCACTTTGGCGTGTCTATATTTACTTCAGCTAATTACTGTAATGTTTTTACAGCTGACTTATCTATTTGATAATCCGGCGACAGTGTTTTTCTCTATCTTCATGTCTCTGTGGGGTAAGTGTCATCTTTCCGAAAAACTTGTTTTAGCAGTAACTAGTAGTATATTATTATAATGTGAATTAACTACTTATCCAGTATTACCTTATATATATAGTTATAAGCACAGCCATCCACATTCATAACAGTTTCGCACACAACCCTGTATGTGCATTGTGTTTGTTTCGATTTTGCTGCCTTTATGCTGCCGCCTTCACTAGTTAGTAGTTTATTATGAACTACATCACGTTGTTTTGAATTATCGATAAAGCCACACTTATAACCTATACGATCTTCATTCCCAGGTACACTGTTCCTGGAGTTCTGGAAGCGCAAGCAGCATGTCATTGCCTGGGACTGGGACGTGCTTGAGTACGAGCAGGAGCAGGAGAGCCTGCGACCACAGTACGAGGCTCAGGCTAGCCACAAGAAGACCAACCCCATTACTAAGCTCATAGAGCCTTACATACCTTGGTGGAACAAAGCCACGCGCGTGCTTACGTCTGCTACTACAATTCTATTCATGGTAAGGCAATGAGGTAACAGCCAAGGTGCCAGCAAATGCTGCTGCGAGTGATATCTAATACCGAAATAAAGTTTTGCTAAAGAAATGAAAATGAAGGCAAAAGGTGAATATAATTTGCTGTCTCATAGTTATACCATTAGGGAATTAAGGAGATGTGTTAAAAAAGGTAAGTATATTAACAGTAATTGGTGATGAGTACTTGAATGAAAAAATGGACAGATCTGCATCACCAACAATTGTCAATTTCCACAGTGGTCCTTTTTTTATTTTTTATAGCATAAACTGATGCAAATTTTTAATTGCAAAAACCTAAGGAGATCTGCTATACTAACAAACAAAAGTATTTATTATTCATGTATTTATTATTCATTTATCAGGTGTGTTCGCCAATACACAAACGTATTTTTTGTCTGTTTCTTGCAGCTGTGCGTCGTGCTGGCAGCCATATTTGGCGTGATCGTGTATCGCATCGTCATCGTGTCTGTTCTCTACGCGAGCGACGTTGCTCTGGTGAGACAGAATGCCAAACTCACGACGACGATCACTGCGGCAACACTCAACTTGCTCGTCATCATTTTGCTGAGTAAGATCTACCGGTGGCTCGCCATATGGCTTACAAATATAGGTATGCATCGTAAACCTGGTATTCACATTCATTACGCACGCGCGCACGCACGCACGCACGCACGCACGCACGCACGCACGCAGGTACGCGGTGGAAGGAGGGAGGGAAGGAGATAGAGAGGAAGTAGGGAGGGAGAGAGAGAAATGAATAGACACACTGATGGACAGACAGACAGGCAGGCAGAGAGATAGATACAGTCGATTTTGTAATTGGTTCTCATTATTCTCATCTCCCTTCGTTATTAAACTACTTTGGCGCCAGATGCATTTACATCATCTCTTATAGAAGGCAGCAGTGTAACAGGTGTTTGCATTTTCTGTTGCAGAGTGCCCACGAACGCAGTCAGACTACGAGGACAGCTTCACATTTAAGATGTTCCTCTTCCAGTTCGTCAATTTCTACTCATCGTTATTCTACATTGCATTCTTCAAGGGCAGGTATGAACAAACATGATTCCATATAGATTATTCATGACCTACTGTCTGAATTTTTGTTTGGAATTGAATGCTACATTCATGCCAGATGTAGTATTGGAAATGTAAGACTGGAAAACTGCAAGCTTTGTGTGCCCGACTTAATTTTACAATATTACCCCAAATAAAATAAATACATTTTATGCTTGGCTAAAATTGCATGGTTTTGTATGCCTGAATTAAAATATAAATCTATGACAACCTTTAACTAAAAAATCATTTATCCACCTTCTTTTATGCAAATTTGTGGTGCTGAAAAAAAAATCAGGCTTGCATTTTCTAAACGAGCTGTTTTTTTTAACAATGAATGTGGCTTCAATCATGATGTATTTTCCGTGTGAATAATAATAAAACATTGATGCTATTTGCTGGGCAGACTTACTATAAACTGCTGCTTTATGTGCAATGCAATACCGTGATACACATGGTTATAGTAGGTACTGTATTATTAGTGCTGCTGGAGTAGTTTAATCTGCGTAATATTAGAATTAAAGCCGCACAATGCGCATCCAAACCGCTAATTTCTCCAGTACTGGAGATTCGCAATATACTCGTGTCATGCCTAATCACACTACGTATGACAAAAATAAACATCTTAGTTCTCCTCCTCTTCCACTGTGCGTATGTCTTCATAAAAGGTATTGAAACATACCTCAATCTTGTTTCAAGATTCTCTCAATTGTTGTTGACAGATTCCCCAAGCAACGCGGCTAGCGGCTGTCTGCGATATCAGCGGTACGGTGTATTCAAGCGATAAAAACATGTGACTCACCTCACCCTTCGCGCTAAAGTTGTTGGCAAAACAGATCGGCTTTTTGCCGCAGATTATGCCATTTTCTCACGCTCTTTGTGCGGTTTTAAGCAAACGCGCAGTGAAATGGGAGCAACTCCATTATCCTTCCATTATAATGCCACGACAGCAAAGTCAGATTTTCAAGGATGCTTTTCAATTACCAGCTATTACCAAAATCGGCTCATTATATCGGCGTATGTTAAGATATGTGCACATGAACAGGTGCGGGGCTAACTTCTTTTGCTTTGCATCTGGGGGGGGGGGAAACCATGTGTGGTTTGCATTCTTGTAAGTTGACTATGGGCAGTTCGTCATGGGCCATATAATAGCAACTAAATTCTACGTTAGAACACTTACATTGGTCTAGAGGGGCATCCTCCACGAGGGAACTAACCTGTCTATTACCCCTGCCCATTACCTGTGGTCCATGGACCATTGGGGTCCGTGGATTGGCTTCAGGGGGTCGGTGAACCCCATTGTATTAAAAAAAAAAATTTATGTGCACATAAACATATTTTGGTGGGAGGGGTCCGTAGCTTTCACCAGATTTTCAAGGGGGCCATGACTCAAAAATGTTAAGAACCACTGGTCTAGAGGGGCATCCTCCGCTAGGTACAGCCCTGGAACATATATATATATATATATATATATATGAAAAATATTTGTGGTTAAGTGTGAAAGCAACTAGACGGTTAACAAGCAGTGGGTGGTCTGGTCGGTGCTGCGTATACCAAGGCGGGTTAACGATCCTTTCTCAATGTCTTTTCCTGCCAGCGTTAGGCACTTCTTAGAGCACACTCCAACCATAGCCAAGACTATCTCGATAATACACAGCTAGACGGTAGTAGTGATGACAATTGTAATGTCTCATGTCATAGTCGTTACATTATATTTTCTACGTTGTCAACAGTCCCGCACCCTCCTCCAGCAATCGCTTATCGTGGCGCGAGTTGGTAATTATCACCTGCGATCAAGATTGCGAGATAGTCACTGTGTGCTGTGAAACTGCCCACTGTGTTTCTGTTTGATACAGGGCGTTACTGTGGCCCTCTTGGTTTGCTGGAGCATTTGAGAAGCTATGAGATATTACTATGCGAGGCGTGTACATGTGTGTGTTGCATCAAGTTGCGTTTTCTACACATTTCTGACGTTTCGTTGATACAATCGCATTTCTCTCTCTCTCTCTCTCTCGTCCTCACTCTCTCTCATCTCCTCTCTCTTCTCTCTCTCTCTCCCTCTCTCTCTCATCTCTCATCTCCTCTTCTCTCTCCTCTTCTCTGTCTTCTCTCTCTCTCTTCTTCCTCTCTCTCTCTTCTCCTCTCTCTCTCTCTCTCTCTCTCTCTCTCTCTCCTCTCTCTCTCCTCTTCTCTCTTTCCGTCCTCTCGTCTC